AAGGCAATAATAAATACCCTAGCGAAACAAGGTATTGCCAGACCTTATATAGAAACCCTCGGCAATATATACAAAGAAGCCAAAGCAAGAGAAAGGCAGGGAGTACGACAGGGAGACGCGACAAAGCTGTTTACACTAGAAGAAATCTTCCGTCAACTGGACTGGACCCACAAAGGATTAAAAATAGATGGAGAATATCTCAACTATCTAAGATTCGCTGATGACATAGTTCTAATTGCCAATAGCCCTGACGAACTACAAGCAGAAATTAACGAACTAAATACAGCCAGCAATAAAGTTACTTACTTATGGAAGAAACTCAATCATAATCAAATCTAAAATGCCACTTTATCTAAAGAACCAAACATTCGACCAATGTGTACTACCAGTGATGATCTATGTATGCGAAACCTGGACACTTAAAACGGACATCATTAGGAAACTGCAGGTCGCACAACGCTCAATGGAACTAAATATGCTGGGAATAATCAGGAAAGACCGTAAAAGAATAGAGTGGATACGACAAAAGACCTAGATAATAGATGTCATTCAAAGAGGCAAATTGTCTTAAAATGGCAATGGGCAGGACACCTGGCAAGAAGGACGGACAACAGATGGACCACAACAATTACAGCATGGTACCCACGAGAAATTAGATCTGGGACGGGACCATGATAATAGGAAATTAGCAGGGATAACTTAGGCCCGCATAGCCAACAACAATGGGCCCAACTACAAAGAGAGTATCTTAATAGAGGGAGGCTACACCATAATTGGAAATGGTCGAATAAGCTGAAAATGATGATGATAAAAAAATATTTCTTAACAAATAATTAAAGTTCTTTGAAATATTTAAATTTAGAGAGCAAATCCGCTAAAGGATATTGTAAGAAAAATCTTCATGAAAATAAAGAGATTAGCCTGGAACTAGAAGTTCTCACAATGAGATGGTTATGTATGTGTTCTACTCGTATGGATTTGAGCGTTGGATTCTAGATCCAGAAACTGCAAAAAAATTTAAAATTCTGCATATATTATGGATGCAGGTAGAGGTTACTAATGAAATGAATTCATAAACAAAAGGCACATCCATTCAGCATCGTTGGTCAGGATAACGTAATACTTATATAGGTTAAATAATGAAAGTCCAAAAATACTAGATTGTATCTAGATTGTATGGGAGGGAGGAAGTTAATTACCGCGACTTTATAGATCTATTGTATCCCCCTTTCTTGAGTTATAACTCATTCTACAGTCACAGGGCTTTGACAAAAGCCAGTACCTGAAACGGTTTTACAGATGTTAGTTCTCCATCTCCGATATTAGTCGTAACTATATGTATAATATCAGTCGTTTATGGCACGAATGGTTGTCGTCTCGGCGCACTCATAGATGAGGCGTTCTGGTGTTTCCCCATTTTTACCACATAATCTGCATTCGCCGTAAAAAATATTAGATACTGGAACTGATCATCCAAGGAAATATTTAGGACAAAAGGGAGTAAAAGATCTAAGATCTATTCCGAGCAGCAATTTTCAAAATCATAATACCCTTTGGATCGGCATCTTATGTGTTAGTGCAGTACTATTTATTATGAAGCATGATTTCTTAAAATAATCTTCTTATAACTTTGTTTCTATAACCGTTCTCAAAATTCTCATTTTTCTCCAGAAGAATAAGTAAAAACAAGAAAGTTTTGAATAAATCGTAAAAATTTTGCTTTGGGCTAGTATAAATTCTCGACATTTGCTTGGTTATTCTCGTTCGTTCTAGAAGGAACATTCTCCAAAAATAAATTCTCTCGAGCATTTACCGACACTAATCATTATAAAATATAATTTTTCTTTATTTTTTTAATCCTATTTTTTTCCTTCACTGAAAATATTTAAGTTTTAACAATTTTATATTTATGAAACCAATGTATTAACAGTAACCAACTTCTCACTTACAAGGACACTCGAAAAAAATACGCCAAGATTCGTTGACTCCTCCGTAAAATTTATTACTTGTTTTAAGAGTGTTAAATATTTAGATAAATCGTTGAATTTTTTCAATACGTACTTTATGTTTAATAATATGCACGTCTTAACCTCCTTCCAGTTATTAATATTTGCGTTTGCTATTGGTGAGAACGTAGTAAACATTTATTGCACTTACTATTTAATATACATCCGCTTTTTTATGGAGATCACGTTTTCCAATGTATATCCTGTGTAAAACTATAAATTATATTAGAGAATTAAAATACATATTTAGAATTATTGTTATTGAGTATTAATACTTACTATTAATATTCAATAACAATAATTCTTCTTTTCAGTATTTACTGGTTCACTATATTATTATCTCCATTATCATAGATTAAAGATATTATATTTTATGCTAGAACTGTAATATAATCCAACCGGCCGGCGCGCGGAGCGGCATGCGACATGAAAAACGAAATCCTTAAAATTTTCTGAAATTTATAGATCAATATAAAATACAGGGTGGTCCGCACCGTATTCCGGAAACTTCGGCAGCTTATTCTGCAGATAAAAATAAGTAAAAAAGTTCGTATAAATATATGTCGTAAAATGCTTAGTTTCGGAGATACAGGGTGTGGAAGTTTCATTTTTATTTCGATTTTTTTCAAATAATTTCTGAAATAAAATCAATATTTGGATGAAATTTGGTGTCTAGGAGTTTTTTGGCATGAGAAATTTGATTTTAATATCAATATGACTCCTACTTGTAGAGGGCGCCCCCTGCATATTTTTAAACTGATTTGAAGAGTAGGTAATAACTTTTCGTCCGTACCTGTTATAAAGTACTGAGTAAAAAAATATACATTTCCGACGTTTTTTACGTAAAAAACATCTCGTGGTAAAAGTCGCTACGAGTAATGGTTCTCGAGATATTTGGAATTGAAATTATCAATACCTGTCTTCTTTGACATAAATTAAATATGTTAACTAAAGTTATTAGACTAAAATCATAAATTTGAAAAGTTTTTTGTGTCAAAAGTTCAACAGAAACTGTTTTATCATCATTTTTTTCGCAGAAAATTGATGATTAATTTAAAAAAATTAAAATTTCGGAAATTTATTATTTCATTCAAATAAATATCTATTTCATTCTAAATATCTTGAGAATGGTTGCTCGTAACGATTTTTACAAAGAGACATTTTTTATGTAAAAAATCACGGAAAGGTACATTTTTTTACTCAGCAGTTTTATACAAGTACGGACGAAAAGTTATTACTCTTCAAAACAGTTAAAACACATGTAGTTGGCGCCCCCTACTATTAGGAGTCATATTGATATCAAAATCAAATTTTTAATGTCAAAGAACTCCCAGACACCAATTTTCATCCAAATATTGACGTTACTTCAGAAATTATTTGAAAAAAATCGAAATAAAAATGGAACTTCTACACCCTGTATCTCCGAAACTAAGCATTTTAGGACATATATTTATATGAACTTTTTTACTTATTTTTGTCTACAGAATATGCTGCCAAAGTTTCCGGAATACAGTTCGGACCACCCTGTATATTGTTCTATCTAGTGGGCTGATTTTGATGATTTTTAAGCAATTTGTAGCGAAGTTATTTGACTTTTTCGCGTCTTCTTAAATTAAAAATTAAAATACCTATCTGTATATTATACGACGGTAAGGAAAATGTTATCTTTACGAAAGTTTAAAACATCCCGTGGATTTTTCTGTTAGAGATATTCGTTTTTGGAGAAGAATGTAAGAATTAATAACGATTTTAACATTAAAGCAGGCCTTTGCTTTTGGTCCTCATTAATACACATAGGAAATAATTTTTGTTGCTTTTTAACAGTTACTCCAGCAGATATGTTTAAAGTCCAGAAGCTGTATTGGCTCAAAGCTTCACAAAAGTACAGCGATTAGCAGCTCTAGATACAACTAGAGCAAGGATTATACAATACATTCCTTCAATATATACATGCTAACAGGAAGAAAAAACCATAGAGCATCTGCTGATCTGCTATGCCACTGTCCGGCACTGGAATACCGAGGCTTTAACACTTCAGGGCACGGTTTTTTGGAGGGACTAGAGGAAGCAGCAGAAGCCAATAGCAACGACACCGGAAACTTTGCAAAGAGCCGGAAGTGCTTTAACTCAAAGAAAGAATGAAATGGTTTGGTACAATAACACAGGGTATCGCAATGGGCCCAAGGCCTCCGAGTGAGGGATCAAACAGTATCCCAAACCCCAGGAACCTAACCTAAACCTAGGATTATAATTACATATATCAATTTCTGGACTTAAAACCATCTCAGCTAGAGTAACTGCCAGCAGGCAATAATAATATAACTTTTCAATGACAGTGAGATTAAAAAAAAGGATAAACACTATTTCATAGGTATGTTGTTGGAGACCAAAATCAAATTCATGCTTTTAATTCTAAAATTGCTAGAAGTCATTACTGTCTTCTTCAGAGGCTATCACCTATCTCCAATATAAGTACAGCTATTGAGATGAACCAAAAAAGAAACTATCGAGAAAAATGCACGTTGATAATAAACTGGTTATTAAATTATTTTCTTTGTTAAACCATTCCATACAGGGTATATCAAATTTTCGCCGCAATAACATTTTGGTTACCCTCGTATAATAGACAAATGGGAGCTTCAATTTTTTTATTTTAAAAAGACAAATAATTAAGCTACAAATTGTAAAAATTATTGAAAAAAAATATATTTTACTGATCAGAATTTATTGGATGCAATATTAAACAGACGATTTTCTGTATTAAACCATCCATAAATTCTATAATATTACGTAAAAGAGATGAAACATTAGCACGATACATTTTAGTTTGTTTTCATCAAACCGACAACGAAATATGTTTTCGCAAAAGACGAGAGTAAACAAATTATAATTGCTGTTACGCCCACACAAAGCAGTTGCTAAACGATATTCTGTATTGGTTTTGCAAAGCGATAATTTATAAATAAATATATTATGTTCTTCTTTTTGTTGCAGATGGCTACCGACTTTCAAAATGATCATAATGCGAACGGCAACGAACCGAATATGCTGAAAAAACATTTACCCTCAAGGGCCATTGTCACCACGACTTCACAGGTAAAATACTTATCCCGATTTCGTATACATACGTTACCATAATTTACGGTACTTGTTGGTCGGGTTCAACTTTTTAAAAGATCAATGTCGCTGTTCTTGTACAGCAGTCTTGCCAAAATTGTTTAGGACAATAATACAAAATGTAGTTTGAAGGTAGGGGACAATTTGGAATGTTTAAGAAAGTTATTTTAATAATTTTTCGTTTAAAATCATTACTTTTGATCTTGTGAGAGGCACTATTTTGTAAATAATTCATTTAACCTTTTGATTATAGTAATAACATTTTAGTACTATTGTTGATTGAAGAAATAAGAAGGCGCGCAATCAAAATTATGGGCCATTTCGTGGAACAAAACCTGTCCGAGATGTAGGTAGCGTTACCGTCAGCCTGAATTAGAGAAAATAAGTGTTTTATGCGTTGGCCGTAGAACAATTGGTGTCTCCACCGTACAGCACTTGAGACGCAAGTTGAAATCAAATCAGTCTTGTCACGAATTCGTCCATTAGGTTTCTATTTTTCCAATTCTTTCAATCAACAGTACTAGGAAAACTGTAATAAAACTCGACGCGCGTTTGAACTGCCATAATGATATAGGGATTATTAACATAATGATTATTGATCTTTTAATTGTTACAATTTATATTTATATATTAATGATTGAATAAAAAATTATGAATATCTGAATATGTAATGTCAAATATTATATTTAATAAAACTACCTATTTACCTCACCAAAATTCACTTGTAGAAATTAGTAAAACAATATCTTGAAAGTTTGCCTTATTTGAGAGCAAACTAAAGTCTAAATCTGGCTATACCTACGATTTCCATTTTGATGAGTCACACACCTGTTTTCACATCACTTTTAAACATTTTTAGTATTGTCAATGTTAATATCTTATTATTAATGGGCTAGACGATAAGACCTACGAGAACAAGTCTTATCAGTGAAATTGTGAGATAACGTTACTACAATAGTCATACATACATTACTTCTTAGGATTATAATTACATATTATATACCTTGTAATTTTACAAAAATTGTTGTTAATCTAATTTTTAATTCAAAAAGTTATGTTTCTTTAATATACTTTTTCTGCAAACCTTTGGAGGTCAAAATTCATTATGACATATACAAAATGACATAGTAAATATGAATCTAAATTATTATAACGATATCCTAATAATATTAATATTGATATTATTAATCGATTGTTGAAACAATTATTAGATATAAATAAACAAAAATTTATTGCTACAATTAAGTTATTATTTTAATATCGGCGTCAGTATATGCGATGGAAAAACACGTGCTACGTTTATTGATAGATAACAAACCTACTTAATAGAAGGTTAAAAGGTTTTAAGACAATTACTGAGTTTTAAAATTGCTGTATTGTTGGGTTCTTACTATTATCATTAGCATTTTAGTCTATAGAGATGTTTATAATATATTATAATTTTATCATATATTGTGAACTTCACGTTTTAAAAGCATATATAAATTAATACCAAATAGTGCGATTTTTAGCTGTTTTACATAGATATAGGAAGATCAAAATTTATTATAACAGTCGAACTGTTAAACCATTTCTTTTTGGATCTAATTTCACCAAGTTTTTGGTTTGGTTCCGCACAAAATCCGCCTTTTGTATTGAAAATTTATTCGTGTTAAAGATAGAAAAAATAACAAAAACACAAATTGTTTTATAGGTACTGAATAATATTTATAAAGTATGAACGAAAAAAAATCGTTTAGTTGGCTTAGAAATGACAATTATTGATATTTACCATAATATTTCACATTTGAAATAACAGCGATCTTCATTTTCAAGCCAACTCTCACGCCATTCTTTGTTTAATATATATAACATATAATATTATATTAAATTATTTATTGATAGAAAATCCTTATTATTAACGTACTGTACCCAAAATCCGTAAATCTACAAATTAATCAGTAGTTCTGGCAACACTGTCTCCGACAACCACCCACTCTGTCGACTGGAAGCAGAACTACGGTACAGTATTCTTTGTCGGCTGCGCTGTAAACAACTATCAACGCGGAGCGGCGCAGAGCTAAACTAAATCTCGGACACCCTGAGGGTAACGCCAGCTACATCTCGGACAGCTTTTGTGCCACGAAATCGTATATGTAAATAAAATTGCGAATATTCGTTTTTATTTCAAAAATCGTCGGACGTATTTGGAATTTTTAAACTGTTAAGGGTGGCTTTTGGATCGGCATTAAATAGCGCAGCTTTGTCTCCATTTATTTATCCGACCTCGTATTTCTTCTAGTTTCCAAGATCCCAATGAAAAAGCTCGAATTTGGCACACCCTGTATAATGAATCTGAATAAAAAATCCTAGACAGTGCTAAAGTAGTGCAAATGCACAAAGTGCTTAGCATGTCACGTGACATTAATAGGAGTGAATTTAATTTATTTGAGTAAAACTCTTTGACCAAAACTGTTAAAATGAGGTTAACGTTTTTATAGTAACGTAAGTCATAAAAATTCAGTACCTACGTCAATAACATAACCACGAGTCAATTACCAAAACAACGTAACGACTCCTTTTTTCATTTGCTTCCGTTGTCACGTGTTAGAATAAACACACACACATATCTGAACAGTCAAAATCGTAATTATTTTAAAAATAACTGAGATGAGACCATCTTTGTTTATTTATAACTTCGAAGTTTTTATTTTTGTTTTCTTGGTTAATATGATTTTATTGTTTCGAGAAACGTTCCAGTTCATTCATTAAAATTCGAAAGAATATTATTCATTGATTTATTAAAGTGGAAATGAGACAAATTGAATTATGTAGAGCGCCAGATGAATCATAACATTTTCTGATTTGAACACCTACACTTTTATATTTACACAACATATATGTTTATTTTGTACGATATATTTAATAAATTATCAATTTTATTGCAAAGAAATAATTTTAATAAATGAATACTTTTAAAGACGGTCATAAATTTATTTTTAAATTTGTTGTAGCCGATGTGTAATTTTTCTAATATTGTACAAAAATTATGGATGAACATGTTTTATGGACTTTGTTTAAATTAAACCTGAATTGATTTGACTAATACATACCTAGTGAGAAAAAAAGAACACCTATACATGGTTAATCTTAAATAAGTGTAAATATGTTTAGGGGTGGTATATTTCGACCCCAGAAACACGTCTATGAGTTTTTTCGCGAAAAAAATATTTTTTGAAATTATTTTTGGAATTCTTTTAATAATTATCCCAGTATTTATCTAAAAAATATAATATCTTCATAATACGGCAACTGGAACATATCAATGTTTCATCTAGTACTTACTAGATTAAATTTACAAGAAAACCCAGAAAAGATACAGTGGTTGTCAAAATTTAAGCGAAAAATCTTTTATTTTTAATTTTGAAAGGAAAATATCTCGGATATTTTGGACTTATTTGAAAAACGGTAAAGGAGAAAATATGTTTCTTTTCTTTTTTTTGCACTTATTTAAGACTTACCTGTATACATTCTTTTTGTTTTTAATAATTTTAGGTGTACAGTGCAGTTAACAATATATATTCATACGTGTTCTCCTTATTTTGTCACTCAGTATAATAATAATTGACTACCAAAGCCGTGATAGATAATTTAAAATATATGATTCCAATTATTTTCTGCAGTGTGAAGAAATTTGTAAAAACTGTGTAGTAACGTCCACTGTTAATCAATTTTAAGACAATATGAATATGAACCAAATACAGAAAACTATCATCATAAGATTAGATGATGAATATACTTTGCCTTAGTTATTTGTAAGTTTCATGTAAATAATTTATTACCTTGTAAAATAATGCAATTTCCTTGATGGGTAAACCACCTCATCTTTAATGCTTCGAAGAAACTTTTACTCATAATATCTGTGGAAAATTGCATTGAATGAACTTGTGGTTAAAAGTACGTGCGGTTTTTGTAATAAAAACGGCACGTGCAGGACTATTTCGATCAAAACAATGCTATTAATTTAAAAATGACTAGTCATACTAACCGGTTTCGTTCGAAATGCACTCCGCCATCTTTCAAAATCGGAAGGAAGGTTCATTTTTATTGCATGTTTAGATGCATAGAACGTGTTTTTAGATGCAAAACACTTAATTTTTATGTTAATTGCCTCTGTATAATGACTTAGATTTTTTGTGTTAAACTTTTTATTAACAGAATTGAATTAATAATATAAGTAAAATAATATACCGATAATTAGGAATAATTTCTATACCTCTTCTACGGAACAATAATTAAGAATAATTTTATAGAAATATGTAAAGCCGGCTACAGACGGCAGGGCAAGCCATGGCCAGCGTTTAAGCAAACGTTTGTAGAAGCGTTGGTCTTTGCTTAATATTCGCGCACCGACGCGCGACGACCGTACACACTACATGTTTTACGTCTGCCAGTCTTTTCGAGTCAAGTGAATTTAACAAGTACAAGGGTACAAATAACACAAGAAATGGAGTTCGACTCCATTTCTTGTCTATTAATTGTATATGTACAGGGCGTTGCAACGAGGGATAAACAGGGGCTTATTGTATTTTTTGTTATCATGTTATCATTATGTTTCTTTTTGTAGAATTCAAAAATTGTACCATCAAGTTTATCATTTGTTACTGCTTCATCTATTTTACTGTAACATTTTATTTTGACAGAAAAAGTAAAGAATTGGCCCCTGTTCAGTTCTCATTACAACACCCTTACATTGTCATTTAAACTCAAGCTCTCTTGGACTAACATATGTCGTGTGTACGGCGATCAAGCCCACTGGCGAGTTTCAACAAGTCCCTTTGATGTGTGTCGAAAATACCGCTACATAGGCGAACCCTGGCTAGCGCCAACCTTGCCTTTGCGTTGCCATATGTTTTGCATACACACGATGCGCCAACGTTGAAACGAGCGGACTTAATGGACAATACTGTGTTAAGCCTAAAGTACATGGACCAAGCCAACCGGATGCTGCATATATAAATATACTTATATGAATGTTGCGCGCTTCTCACTTTTACGCTGTTTGTATTGTATCAACTGTTTTATCCCAGTCGAATTGGAAAGCTTTGTATCATCCAAGTAAGTTAACAGCCAGCCTGCTTACTTTGATATCAAAAAGTAAACAGACAATACTATACAAGCAGCGTACAAATGAGACACTTGCAGCCTTATTATAAGTAGAGTTATAATGTAGTGTCCTTGATCCAAGTATTGAGTTACTGCCATTACTCGCTGACGAGTATTTGACACGCGTCAGAAGATGGATAGAAGATGCAAGGCGTTTTCTTTCATGAGCTTTTCTGTGACTGAAAAGCCCGATACGTGATGTTATCTCTCTTCGGCACTCCGGACATATAAACATCTCATTACTTTATTGTCTCTTTACTTCTTGGTTGTCACTGTTAACTGAGTTTACAATTCTTCTCCATTGCGTTCTATTGTAGGCTGCTTCCGCCTTTTCGTTCCCCTTTAAGTTTTCATGGAAAATCTCCTTGTACCTCTTGAGTTGTCCACTCGATTTCCTCTTACCGTCTACAAGCTGACCGTAAAGAAGAGATTTCGGCAGGCGATTTTCTTGCATCCTGCATAGGTGACCAGCCCATCTTAAGCGGGATTTAGTAATTATGATTTCAGCGCTCTCGCAGTTAGCTTTTTCAACGACCGATACGTTTGAGACCTTTGTTTTGAACAGTTTTCTAAGGTGTCTCCGTTGCAACTTGTTCCAAGTTCTAGTTACTATTTGGACACCATGATAGAAAATGTGAAGAAAAATGAACACTATATTATTTTACGGGGTTAAAGTCATAACGGTGAAGAAAATATCACTTTTTTTGAAAAAAAAATCAGAAAAACATTTACCCATTTGACTATAAAGTTTTTATATAAATTTGAATAGACACTGTTGCTCGTTTCTCATAATCTAGCGCATATGATAATATACTGAAATATTCGCCTTTAATTTTACAACACCGGGTATATTAATATACAAGTCCGATTTCTCAGTTCGCGTTTGGAAACTGGCACCGATCCAGGACGCTACTAACGTTCCAACAATTTCAAAAATAAAATCGTTCTATCATCACAATGACCGAAATACCTGTATGACTTATACTGCTGTTGGTTTTATATTTTGGAGTCGGACATCGACTGACCAGTACGATCGCGACGCGGATCAATCGACCACCGCGAAAATATTTACTAACCACAAATAATAAAGCGCGCAAGAGATTCTATAATTTTGCTTAAAACGATTACTTCGTGCGGCTTTCGATTTTATAAGGATCGTGCTTTTTATTACTAACTTAATTTTCTTAAGGTAAGGGTGTATACAGGATGTTTAAAAAAACATGTGCCATCTCCCACGTAAAAATAATATTTATTTTTTATATGAATTTTCGATTTATTATAATTTTCTTCCAAGTGCTTTTAGTGATTCCAATGAAATTATGAGGGTAATAGTTGCTGTATAAATGCTACATATTTTAATGCTAAAAAAGTGTCAACAGATTCACCAGAGACGTGCATATGCATTATTACCCGAATACCGTTTCTTTCTAAAAAAAAACATATGCGCCACTGACTCTTTTTTCTCTTGTTAGAAAAAATGTGTAGGTTGTTTAATGCCGATTAAAGGTTGTATCTTGATATTTTGCTGATTTCAATCTCTTTGATGAAATAAATACAATTTTATTAAACACAACACATTAATAAAATAAAAACAAAATTAATAAATTATTTATTTAGTCTAATTTATTATTACAATTTTAGTTTCAGTTCATTTCATTTCAGTGCTACCTACAGCAAATTTAAAAAAATGTTTTTTAAGAAAATAACAAAAGATCTATTTTTACAAAATTTATACATCCTGTAACGTTAAAACTATGCGTTGCCGCACCCATGTTTAGATATAAGAACTTTTTTTATATTTTTTTATGAGAAATCAATCAGTACTTACTTAACACTTTGGTCAGTTAATGACATTAAAATTTTTTAAAGGTTGCTATTAGACTTGGATTAAGGCAAATTGATAAAATTGGGTTTATCTCAATAAGGAGACCGAAATCGACAAAATATCAAGATACAACTTTCAATCGGCATTATAAGACTAAGACAATTTTTCTAACAAGACAAGTCAATGTCGCTCGTTTTTAGAATATTAAAATATTCCGGTGATAACCCATGTGCACGTCCCTAGGGAATTTGTAAACACATTTGTGTCACACTTATAATGACTCTTATCCTAATAACTCAAAATTCCGTTCAAATCGCTAAAAGCAGCTTATGCTATTAGACTCAAAAATAAAGAATTAAGTACTTCAAGAAATGTAAAAAATGTTTATAGAGAACGTTCTCTCTTTATTACAGCACTAGTCAGCTCATCAAAATCATAGTCCAATTTAAATATAGAATTATTTTCACAAAAAATAATTTATAAAATATATATGTTGGAGAACTAGTTATATTTTTATATAATAGTTTAAACGTTTACTCCTTACTAAAATGTAATAACTGACAATCATATCCATACACATTATGACAAAAGTTCTCAAAAATGAATAATTTTGTTACACACCCACAAAACAACTGACTTTTAAACGTTGTTATTTATACATTTTCTTCTTTCTACGCACAATTATACTTATATTTTTTCTTATGTGTTTTTTCTACACTTTTTTTTGGTGCGTTCCTTATTTCAGTTGCATTTTTGTGAATTCTTTTTTCATTTTTATTTTTTTACTTTATTTTTAAATCAATTTTGCTTATTTTTTATGTTTATTGATGACTATATGCAATGTTTAGTCACATTTTCCGCATTTCTCTCTTTTTCGTTTTTAGTGTTTTTTAGATTTTTTCAAATAAATTTTGAATATTGTTATATTTTTATTTATGACGAGGAATTGATCAAGTTTTTCCAGATTACAAAAAACATCGTTTTGGTTATTCAAAACTGATGCAAATAACGTTAGATACAGTTTATGTCAGAATTAAACATGTTTCTTAAGTGTTGAGACACACTCATATACTTTGTTTCAAGGTTTTATTATCCGAATAAGAAAGAATATTTTTAATATGACCTCATTTTAAAAAGTATCATGTTTAATCAAATTTAAACATAATACAGGGTGAGTTCCTAAATAAGTGCAAATATTTTCAGGGCTTGTAGATCTCGATAAGGCAAACATATTTTCTCTTTACCCTATTTCAAGTAAGTCGAAAATAACCGAGTTATTTTATTTTGAAAATAAAAGAATTATTTTTTGCTTAAATTTTGAAAACTACTGGATCTTTTCTGGGTTTTCTTTGTTGTAAATTAAATCTACTACCTATGTTTCCATGTTATCATGAAATTATGTTTTTTAACTAATAACTAAAAAACTTGCACTTATTTGAGACTCACCCTGTATAAAGTAATTACATTATCTTAGTAAATAATAAAGATTGCTACATGATTTTTTTGAAAAATACAAATAAAATTAAATAAAACTAAGCATTCGTTTTTCTTTAAAGTTGCAGACGAATTCTCAAACAACTTCGACCACGACTCGAGTCAAATCCTCCAGCTCCTCAACGACCACATCCACACAGAGGTTACGACTAGCCTCTCCTTCCGACCTTAAGGCAGATAATATGCGAAGCGACTTGGTCGATTTCAAGAACAACATGAACGATATGAAAAACAGCCTTTCCGGTTACCATCAATCCGGCTACCGATTGCCCGACAACCTAAAGAAATTGACCAGTTCGTTGGATAACTTGGTTAGTACCAGCTACAAATACCCCTGTCCCGCAAAATTAAACGTTAGTTTGATGACGAAATTGTGTGAAGACTCTCTAACAGTTTGTGGTTTCGTTTGGTTGTTTTTAGGTGAACAACGATGGCGATTCCTTGGAGGATATTTCGCAACCGGTAGTCACTTATCCTGACGAGAGTATGTCTCCGTCCGAAGCGGGTTCTCCCCAACCAAATAATGCCATAAATAATGTGGAAAGTTTGAAATTCGAACAGAAAACAACGAATAAAAAGACAAAGGTAAGACATAATAATTATAGAACAGCTATATTAATAGTAGATTTATATGTTGAGTTTTTGATGCTATCGACTTCTTATTTCTACGATCTTCCACGATAAATCTCGTGAAAAAACTAGAGATTTATTTTTGAGATCTAGATGATTTTCCCTCTAGTCTCAATCTGGGTCTTTAATCAATCACGGAATTTTCAAATTTTTTTGATGCTAATTGAATATTTAGTCTATCTTTTCTCTAGATAATTAACTAGTATTATTTAATATTTTAAACTAATTATAATTAAGTTAATATATTAAACTCAGGTTATGTCAATATACTAAACTAGATGGAGAATATCTTACCTAATTATATAAGATTCGATGATGACATAGTCCTGACTGACAATAGTCTTGAAGAACTACAAGCACAAATTAACGAACTAAAAATAGTGAGCAATAAAATGGGTCTCAAAATTAATTTAACAAAAACTAAAGTAACGTACAACGAACTGATCAGAAAATACATTCTAGTAAATAACAGAACATTGGAAATAGATTAATACAAATATATTTGAAGCAACTAATACACAGCTCGGGAGCTCTACTACCAGAAATTAACAGAAGAATTAAGTTAGCATGGAGTACTACTAGGAAAAAAACTCAATCATATTCAAATCTACAATGCCACTTTATCTAAAGAAGAAAACATTCGACCAATGTGTCCTACCAGTCATGACCTATGCATGCGAAACCTGGACTTTTAACACGGACGTTATAATAAAACTATAGGTTGCACAACACTCAATGGAACGAAATATGCTCGGAATAACCAAGAGACCTTAAAAGAATAGAGCGGATTCGATAAAAAAAACCAGGTAATAGATGTCATCCACATAATTAAATCCCTCAAGTGGGCAGGACACCTGGCAAGAAGGACAGACAACAGATGGACAACAAAAATTAAAGCATGGTACCCACGAGGAATCAAGAGACCTAGAGGAAGACCAAACTTGAGATGGGACCACAGCCAACAACAGACAACAATGGGACCAACTACAAAGAGAGTATCTATATATGTGAGAGAGGCTACACCATAATTGGAAATGGTTGAATAAGCTGAAAATTATGATGATGATGATTAAACTCAGTCGTACTAATGCTTATAACACGCATGGTTGTCGTTTAGGCGCACTCAGAGATGATCTAGTGTTTTCCCATTTTTTTCACAGAATATGCATTCACCGTTGTTTCTCAGCTCATGTTAAAAACCACGCAACAATCCGAAGATTGCTTTTAGATAGTTGAAGATTATGACTGGCAAAGCGACGTATTTTTTGTTCTACTAAGGATGGCTAGGTATATCCAACGACGTCTTGTCATCCTGCTGTTAAAACGTAACAGCTGGTTTTTATATATAAAAACCAATTGTTTTGTTTTAACAGTAGGATTACGGGACGTCGTTGCAGCCACCCTAAGTAAATTACCTACCGAATTATTCGAGAGTAAACAAAGAAATATATTTCATTTAATTGGGATTTTAATTCATTACTAATAATTTAATTAAGCTTTATTTAAGATCGGCTGATGAACTACCGGCTGCAGGATTCGAACCTACAACCTTTAAAATGGCAGACGAGACCTGTACTTCTACGCCACCGGGCATCATTAAGAAGTTAAGGCTATTAATTTAATTATCAAAGTTCTATACTGTGTATATTTTATACACATATATTTCTGGGAGCATATAGGTATCTTTTCTCAAAACTATAATAATCAAACAACTGCATTCATATTGGGCGTTCTCCTGGAGAATTAAGTATTATTGGTCTGTTGAAATTATACGGTAAACTTATATTAGCAATCTGATTTATCGTGTTCTATTGTTTTTATTTAAATGCTTCTACTGTTGCTCGTAGTACCCGTTTTACGACTCTATTACAGAATGCGAATGTCGAGGTCAAGGCAACAAAATTGGTAGTACACAGATAAAAACATCAGTAGTATTGTAACAAAAGCATAGCAAAATGTTACCAAGGTACGAAGCAGCTTCCACTTCTATTGTTTTCTTTTCACAGCGCTCATTATTCAATTAATAAAAACTCAATAAAATAACAATAAAACTTAACAAAAACGCACATAAACCACATACCAGCAATGAAAAAGCAGTAAAAGCAGCGATCGCAGTACCTCATCTGTCAAACCGAGGTCAAAACTTCACAAAAGTAGGGACAGAAATTTCAAATATACCAAATGCCGCTAAATCTCCTTTTTTACGCCCTTTAAAACTACAAATAACTCGTATTCATTTTCATATCGTCGGTGAAACGTGATAAACTGCTAACTTCATTATTCCTAATTTTACAAGAGAGCAAATAAACAGTACAAAAAATATGTACACATGTGAGAAGTATTTTGATGCGTTAATATGATAAAGAGAGAAGAATTTTATTTGCTGGGGAACAATAAAATTCAATATTTCGTGTTACGTCATTTTTTTTCAGACACAATAGGGAGATAGCAGATATTCGTCTTGCAGAAATAAGAAATAAAAATATACTTCTGGAGATAGCAACCTTTATTGTTCGAAATTTTGAAAGTGGAAATGAATATTATCCAAACCGATTTATAATAAAATATCAATAAATAATCAATTAAATTTAAAAAATATGATATTCATAACCATATATTTATAATATCGTCGGTCTAGAAGCAAAACATACAAGTCCAAAAACGAATAAATTTTTAATGAAAATTTTAAAAATTTTTGCATTCTTAAAGAACTGAAGTAGCAGAATTTTGGACTTAATGAATATGAAAATAATTTAAAAATTAAACTTATAATTCTTAGAAGATATGGTAGAATCCTTCCATGCTTATCCTAATTTTTATACAACTGTAGTAGACCGACCTTGAAAGACAGTCCGTGATTTTATTAATTTTTTATTACTTTTCTCCTTATTTTTTTAATTTTTATAAAAATTAGTATCATTTACGTGAAAATACGTTGAAAAAAATAAAACTGATTAGGTATTATTGTACAAGTAAGTAATGTTATTTAAACTATTTATAGCACGCCGATGAATTGCTCGTGTATAGAGAATTTCGTTTTCCCCCTTACCCTTTACGGATACCCCGTATTTACAGAACGGATCGACGCAGGGTCGGACTGGCTATATTTTATAGATAACTATTAGGGGGGGGGGCCTTTATAGTTCATTAATAATTAATGAGAATTAAGAATAATTATTATTCTTAACAATATTTGCTTTTGCATAGCATTATGGAAATTGCATTGCATTGGTTTACCTTGCATTAGGGTAGTTCCCTGATTTCTATACAGGGTGAGTCTTAAATAAGTGCAAATATGTGCAGGGCTGATAAATCTCGATAAAAGAAACATAATATTTTCTCTTTACCGTTTTTTCAAATAAATCCAAAACAACCGAGTTATTTCACTTTTAAAATTTCCAATTTTTTGCTATAATTTTGAAAAGCATTGAATTTTCTTTCTTGTAAATTTAATAAGAACCAACGCATCACAAACAAAGTATGTTTTTAAACTAAAAATTAAAAAAAAAATCCAATTTTTCTTTTCAAAATTCCAAATTTTCAAAAAAAAAAATCGTGCAAAAAACCTCGTAATCGTGTTTCTTAGGTCGAAATATACTACCCTAAAAATATTTGCATTTATTTAAGACTCACCCTGCATATAATACGGAAAAATTGACCAAAACGTAAGGCGAAAAAATACCCCAAAAAAAACACACTAGCCCCTCCTTACATTGCCACCCGGGCCCCTTTGGCCTAGTGCGACCCTGGATCGACGTACTGTACTATAAAAACATACGACTAAGAATCAGTGTGTTTGCTTTAGCGTGATCGTAACGAAAATTACGGAGATAGCAGCATTTCGGTGGCTATTTCAGATCACTAGGAGTTAGCAGATATTATTGAGTTAAAATAAAAAATTTTCTTTAATGGGAAAAAATATGTTTGCTTTCCCTTCTTATAGAGTATTTTTTTCTCTTTCTAATGATATAAAAAAACTTATTAACGTAAAAAATGGAGTTAGCAGGTTATCACGTTTCACTGACGATATTATACTTTCATTTTAATTTATATATTTCAGAACATAAATCTTTGCCTATCACGTTCATTAAACTATGAGGAAAACTAATTGGAAAATTTGTTTTGAAAACATTTTCTTCGATTATCATACCAGAGCTCTAAAAATAACGACATGGAGTTATTTTTAATCTGTTCAACGCAAATCGATGAATTAAAATGCGTAAGTTCGGGCTAATTTATCACTAAAGCCAGTTTTTTTTTAAATATTTTCCCGAACAATCCAAAAACCTTTTTAAAAGGTAAAGGTAGGAAACAAATGGAAAAGCATCATAGCTTCGTATATTTTATATTTATTATTAGTTATTGAATATTAGAAAGCGAAAATAATGTACGATAAAAAACTAGCTGATATGCCTATCAAACTATAATTGAGAGAAACATTTGAAGGGTAGATAAGGTGACTTACAAGTCGCATTTCATGTATCATTAGTTTTATCTATCTAAAAAGGGGTTTTGTGACAATTTATTAACATATTTATTTGTTGGATTAGTGTTATTCAATTGAAACAGCATTCAACATTAGAAGACAGCATTCAACATTAGACAAACTTTAGAAGATATTAGAATTCCGAAACTTAGGTCATAATAAAAACTTTATCAAAACCTTTTGGTCTTGTTGAAAAATCTCTCTAATAAAATGTTGATCTACTGCTGGATACCAAATTATCACATATAAGTTAAAATTATCAACCACAAGTGCAATTGTTCAGAAATGTATAGCAACATACAAGGTTATTTAGTGAACAGTAATAAATACCGGGTGCGTCTCAGAAGTGGCTCACCCCTAGAACTTTTTTATTTTTTCAGTTAAAAAAACGAGATTTGATATGTTAGTATATGACATTAACTAGGATTGATTGACGTATTCAATTTTTTTCGGTCACTTCCTGTTTCAC